TGCTGGCTGAGGAATTCTGGGAGTTGAAGTCCACAAGTCTTAAAGTTGCCAAGGTTGGACACCCCTGCTCTAGATGATGACATGCCCAAGGCAGCTATCTCAAATTAATAGTAGCACCTATTGTACCAGGTTTATGGATTGCCCTCTAGGTGTCTTTCCACTGAGCTGTGCTCTGCCCTTTTTGCCTGTTTTTTGGAAAATACTTCCAAGTGGTTAACATAATTTAGTTCAGGGAAAGTAATTAATGGCTATATCGTAGAGAACTGTACAATTATTCTTTTTTTTTTCTGCAAGAAAAATCTAATCTATAGACTAGTTTTACCTTGTTTAGTTGACACATAAATGATTTGATTGTAATTCTCTGAAATTTTTTTCTTTGTTTAAATCTTTCAAAACCTGTTAACAACCATGAACAATTTTATTCTGATGAGTTAGTAAATGTTGCAGAGATTAAATGAAGTCTGAATGGCAGCTTGGGTGTAGATAAGTTATGAATGATTGCAGTATGGCGTGTGTGTGAATACATGAAATTTACATGAAAAACAAAGTTTGTGACTTGAGAGTATGCTATTTGAATAAAAAATATATTGGATTTGATGGCCTCCTGAAAGAGTGAAGATTTTTCAGAATGCTTTCTGAAAATACCTTAAATAATTTATTTTGATATATCTCAAATTTAAAGTAACAGTTATCCGTGTATGTTGATTTTCTTTCAGGGGTTTTTTTTTTTGGTGGTGGTGGGGGGCTTATAAGATCACAAGACTGCTAAAACAATTCAAAATGCTTCAATTATTTCAAATCAGTGAAACACTGGAATATTATAACATTATAGTTTGAGTTAAATTTTCAATTTATACCAGATATTTCCAATGAGAAAACAAATGCTTCTAAGCTCTGAATCTGACATATTCAAATAGCAGTAAAAGTTTGTAAGGCAAGTGTTAGGATTTAGAAGCATAAGATTTTATCTCTATGATCAACCTCTGAAGCATGTAGTAGTCATTGGGAAAGAAACTAAAAGAACATAAAATATGGTTGTGAAAAGACCCAGCAGGATTAGCTTAAATATTTTGTTATAACCCGCCCCCGTCCCCCAATTCTTCAGTTTTAGCATTATGCTTCCAGAAACCTTACTAAGATTTATGGGAAGATTATATCCATCTTTCTTGCCATTCTGATGCTCATGGATGCATTTGGACCCTTCCCAGGTCTAATTTGTTTTGCTTTGCTTATTGTTATTGTTACATTTATTGATTTGTTTAACTGGTTAAAAAAAAAATTGGAAGAAGGCATGTTGTAAAACAAAATGCCGACTAGAAGGGTTGTCTTTGTTTCCAAAAATGATTCAGTATCCTGCATATACTTCAGATGCATCTTTATAAAAATTTGATTCAAAAATAAAAAGGAGGAGGAGGAGGAAAAATAAGCATCTGAAGGAGAGGAAATAATGGAGAGCATCCTCCTGTTTCTTTTCTTTGAATCAGGTATTTTGTGACTTAAATACTTTTATTAATGTAGCCATTTTTGTGAGAGTGCTAATGAGATTGTTCCAACATTCTATATGCGCTCACTTGTCTAGAAAGGTGCCGGAGACCCCTCTTTTAAAACAGCGTTCTTATGAGAACCAGTATGATAACTAGTTAATCATTGTTATCCAAATACTGCAGATGAAAACATTGCATGAAGATTTGATACTCAGATTTCTACCAGGTTTTTTTTTTTTTAGTAAGCTGACTTGTAGATTGCTGGTCAGTATTTCCCATGCTCCTCCTTCTCCCTTGTGCTTTTACTTTCTTTAATTTAGCTCAACTCTGATCTGCTTATTTTCCTTGTCCTTGAGGTTGAAATTGTTTTTCTGAAGCCCACCTATTGGCATTAGTGAGGAGGGGGCTGTCATGGGAAATAAGGTAGTAGCAGATCTTTCTTTCTTTCTTTCTATCTATCTATCTATCTATCTATCTATCTATCTATCTATCTATCTATCATCTTTCCATAATGTATACTAGAGTTAAACACAGGGTCAGATAGGCTTCCATGAACCTTATCAAAATATTCAGAGTATGAACTTCCAGATTTCAGAAGAGAAATAATTCCATGTTTTATAATTTCTAATGTGAAGGAATGGAAGAAATATGAACGGACAGCTTAAGCTGCTAATGAACTCGATCACATCTTCACATAGATACATAACAATTGAAATAAAAATATTATAATATTTTCTTATAATTTTCCAAAAAATGTATAGCCACTCTGCTCAAGGATATAGAAAATGACATGTGGCAGATCTTTTGGTACAGTTTCCCATCAACCACCACTTGGATTTCAACAAAGTTTTTGTGACATGCTCTTAAATTGAGTTAACAAACTCAGACATTCATCAGATTGATATTGTGGACAACTTTTATGAAAAGAAATTCATTTGCTCAGTTGTGAAGAAGAAGGGGGTATGTATGAGATGATACTCTTATCCCTTATTCCTCTTTCCTGCTGCTACCATTGCTTTCCATGCAGTGTTATCTTCTGTTGCTCAGTCCACCCACCACAGCTTCACTGTTCATAATAGGATGAACAATTGTACATTCTCTTACCTTACTTTGTGTGCAGGAGCATAGAAAAAGACCTGGCAGCGTAGGTCTAAATAATGATTCTTTTCCAAGTGGTGAAAAACCCAGTAATTAAGGGATTCAGAAAGTGTTATACATTAAAAAAACGTATTAAAGACCACAACTGATCAATCTATAGTTTTATGTAAAGCCAACACCCTTTTCCCGTTAAGACAATGTTAAATAATTGTGCTGTATTTAAAGGGAACAAATAGCTTGTTATTGCAAATGTAATACAAACAAATGCATTTAAGTGTTACAAGTACTGTATGTGTAATTTTTTTAAAAAAAAAATGTATCCAGGGCATAGTTGGATTCACACAATCTTTCCCCCACCCTGTAAATTCTTACGCTTTCTGTCCAATGGCACAATGCTGTGGTCTCAGGGTCCAAAGAAGCAGCTTTGGGAAATTGCAAATGAAATTTGTGTTCCTCTAAATGAGAGGGCAAAGGCACTCCAAAATCTCGTGATTACATTGCATTGTTTATGCCTGGAGTCATTAGAAAGGAAATTGGTATAATCACTGCAGTATCAATTTGAAAATAAAGCCCTTGCTTATTTTAAAATAGTTGGGAGGGCAGGTTTCCCACTTCCGCTGCATAACACCTATGTATTGGGATTATAACTCTGAAAATTTTAGGAGCTTTACTGAAAACACAAGTCTCTAGAGGAAGCTTACTTGGAACTGCAAATACAT